AGAGGAGGAGGAGGAGGGGGAGGGGGAGGAGAAAAGAGAGAGAGAGAGCGCTGACCTATCAGGCTTGCTCTGTCATTGCCATGAATGAAGCAACATAAGGCCCTGGCCAGATGCCAGCACCATGCTCCTGAACTTCCCAGCCTCTAGATCTATGAGCCAAATAAATACCTTTTCTTTACAAATTACCAGTCTGTGGTATTTTGTTACAGCAACAGAAAAATGGCCTTCATCACACAGCAGCAATTCAGTGTTGGTTGAAGGAAGAACGGCCTGGAAGAGAAGATGAACTCATTAGAGAGATGCTCTGCCAGCTGGGGATGTAGCTCACTGGCAGAGGGTTTGCCCAGCAAGAGTTGTTTTGCAACATTTTTACCCCAAAGTCACTACTGGAATATACAAACAGCCACTATCGCGTCGTGGTGCGTGTGGTGTGCCAGCGGAACAATTGAGTTCCTTGTGTGTTGGGGCAGGGGAGGCTCAGCTGTCCTAATGGGAGCATGTCACATGCTCGCTGTTGTTGATGTCATACCCCTACCCCTTTGATTTGAAGGAAGCTGGCTAGCTGGAGAGGGCTGAAAAGTGTTAGAAGGAAACTTAGGAATGAAAAGCCCCCTGTGGGAAAAGGTGTCGGGTCAGTGTGTGCTGGAGCTGCACGTTGCGTAAGACTGGCGAGTGTTAGGGTACTTTACTAATATCAGGGGTGATCCAGTAAGGCTTTCAGCGGGACTGGAGACACTCTTCTTCCCCCTTGCAATAAGAGAACATGTATTCCCATCATCTGAAAGTCTGTGTTAGGCCCACTTTCAGGATGGATTGGACTCACACACATAGGATGCTCGATATCTTAGCTGGTGTTTACTGAGCACCTACTGTGTGCCAGGTCTCACATTGAGCACTTTCCAGGCACCCTTCATGACCTGCCCTACAAAGTAGGCGCTGTGATCTTCCACATCACTAAAGCTTAGGGTCTGGGTTTTGAGATGAGGGACCAGCAGAGCTAGGGCAGGAAAGTGGGGTGGGTGTCTGGCCTCTAGGTGGCAGCTGTGACAGGATCTATGAAACGAAGTCATTGTGCAGGGGAGCTGGAAGTGGGGGTGGGAGGGGCGGACAGGAGGGAGGAGGGCCCCAGGGCCAGGCTGAGCTGCAGGGACAGCTGGGCAAGGCCTGACTAAAGCACACAGGAGCTGGCTGCAGGCACCTGGCAGAGAGTGGTTCACCTGGCAGTAGGTGAAACAGACAGGGGTGTGGCCCCGGAGACTGGTCATCAGGGCTGGACCTACCTGGGCCAGTGTCCACCATCTGGTTGGTGAACTCTGGATGGGGGTGGAACCTGGGGAGGGTTAAAGGGTCTCTAGTCTGATCCTGGGGAGCTTGGTCTTGCTACCTTACCACAACTGTGAGCCCCCCAGGTCCGCTGCCAGGAGAGCATGAGTGATCAGGAGAGGGAGACAGAAGAGGATGAGGGAGGGGGTACCTTGGACACGGCACCCATGCTGCCTCAAAGGCCTCCTGACCATCACACCTCAGCCCTGAGACGCTCAGGGTGGTCTGGTCTGGCCATCCGAGGCCTCAAGACCCTGCTGCTGCCTGGGAGGGCCCTGGCTGTGCTCCTGCTCCATCTGCTGCTGCCTGGAACCGTTTTTCTGCTGTTACTGCTGCCCGCAGCTGGCATCGTCTACCTGGGATTCCTGTGCCACTCCAGGGTGAGCCTGGGCCCTCTGTGGGAGGGGTCCCTGGGAAGTGGGGGTCCTGCAGAGGCTCAAGGACCCTGGAACTCATGGCTCCTCCCTGGGAGCCCCTTTTTTGCCAAGTCCCTCACTGGCTGCAGTCAGAGAAGGCTTCTATTTGTCCCCAGGGGACAGTTCTCTTCCCCACCTGAGGCCTCCCAGCTTGTCCCAGGGAATTCAGAGCCTGAATAGCCGGGTAGAGGTGGGGAGGGGAGGCGGGTTCCAGGAAGAGAAGATGGAATCATCGTCAAATTTCACTAGTCCTCAGCCCCTTCTCACCCTTGGCCCTCCCCCCAGTCCTTCCCAGACCCCTCCTGGCCTGGGCTGGGCTTCTCCACCTGTGCAGTGGGCTATGACGTGGTCTGGGAATGGAGGGTGAACAGAGATGGACCCTGTTGTCCCCTTCTGTAGCATATGATGGGGGAGGGAGAAGTGGTGCTGGCTGGTGACAACCGGGCAGGGGTTCAAGGTCTGCTGCCAACACAGGGAAGGGCCATGGGGGGAGGGGGCAGATGGGGACAGGAAAACGAAAGTGGGACTTCAGGGGCGATTCTTTGAGTCTATCAAGGTTCCACCTAGGTCTCGAATTTCCCTTTCGGTCCTCAGCACTACCTGGCCCACAGCAGCTCTGTCCACCCCAACTCTCACCTGGCGCCGCCCAGGCGCCGCCCCCGGTCACACCCTTCGCCTGGCCCCGCCCAGTCCTCGCCCCACTTCCGCCGGCCCCGCCCCGCCGCCTGGCCCCGCCCCTCCTGACCCTCCGCGGGGTGGTCCGCAGGTCCACCCGGCGCCCGGCCCCAGGTGCCGCGCGCTGCTCTCGGATCGCGGCTCCGCTGCGCTCATCGTGTTGGGCTTCCTCTCGCTGCCGCCGCTGCTCGTGCTGGCCTCGGCCGCCCGCGCCCGCCTGATCCGACATCTCCGCCTGCTGCTGCCGTCCCCAGCGGGGAACCCGGGGTCCCACGAGGAGCAGTTCTGTGCCTGGGCGTGACGCCGGTTCCCGGACTCCCGGGAGGCCCCCTAAAGCTCCGGGTGGGGCGGGGCGGGGCGCGGGCGATGACACCGACTCCGCCAGACCCTGGCGGCCCCTTCCCCACCCTCCGGAACCCCGACCCCCGCTGCCGAGAGGCTGGGAAGGAGAGGCAGAAGGGGACCCCCGGAGGCAGCCTCCGAGCGCTGCTGCCTCCGGAGGCCCAGCCCCTGCGCCCCACCTGTGCCTGGAGACACCCACTCCCGCCTGAACCTCAGTGGGTGGCCAGCAGCAGCTGGCTTGGAGGGGTCAGCAGGCTCAGTCTGTCTTCGGAAGTTCTCCTTGAAACAGGCCGCAAAGAAAGAGAGAAAGAAGTCCGTTCTTCGTGGATAATTTGGACGTCTTCGGCGTTCTGCGGCTGCACCAGCATGTTTCCGGGGGTGGGTTTGTCCTCTGCTGTCCTGGGATTGAACCCAGCAGGGGTGCTCTACCACAGTTCACTTCATGTGTTTTGAGACAACCTCGCTAAATTGCTGAGGCTGGTCTCATACTTGAGATCCATGTCTGCGGATTCATATCTTATAACAGTTCTGGAATATTCTCAACCAATATCTCGTCCTTATGACTCTTTCACTGTTTTCTTTCCCCCCTTTTGTATTTTCCATCTGCATGTGCCTGGTCTGCAGTCTGAACAATTTCTTCATATCCTTTTTCTAGTTCGTTGAAATTCATCCTTTCTAATCAGCTGATCAACTCACCTATTTACTTAAAAAAAAAAAAAAAAAAAAGAAGAAGAAGAGAGAGAGAGAGAGAGAGAGTGGTGCTGAGGATAGAACCCAGCGCCCCGCGCACGCCAGGCGAGCGCGTAATTACCGCCTGAGCCACATCCCCAGCCCCTAACCTATTTACTTTTAGGTTATTATCAGACTTAAAGTTATATTTTGTCCTTTTTCAATTTTATCTTTTTTGGTTTGTTATTGTTGTTACTGGGGATTGAACTCAAGGATGCTTCACCACTGAGCTACATCCCCAGAACTTTTAATTTTTTTTTTTTTTTATTCTGAGACAGAGTCTCACTGAGTTGCTTAAGTTCTTCCTAAATTGCTGAGGCTGCCTTTGAACTTGAGATCCTCCTGTCTCAGCTTCCTGACTTGCTGGGATTACAGGCAAGCACCACCACCTCAGTTAAAAATCAGTTTTTATTTTGTTTTTAGTGGTGCTGGGGATTGAACTCAGGGAGTTTTGCCTGCTAGGCAAGCACTCTATCACTGAGCTATAATCCCAGCCTAAATAATTTTGATGGCTTCTTTGTTCGTGGTTTCTGGATTCCAGCTTAGATTCCTTAAACATTCATACATATATGCTATACTTAGTAATGCCAATTTCCTAGTGCTTAGTGTTTGGGGGGAAGAGTGTCCAAATCTATTATTTATTTTTTTCTGCTGAGTTCAGTAATAGCCTAGTATTTTTTTGAAAATTTGGTGGATTTTTTTTTTTTTTTTGGAGAGGTGCAGGTCCTGTACATGGTAGGCACATGCTCTACCCCTGAGCTATACTCCCAGCCCCTGGTAATTTATGATGTCTGCCCATATCTGTAACGATCTGAAGTCCTAACTTAGGGACAGTTTCCTTCAGAGATGGGAAATGACCATCTTAGGCTCTGCTGAGGGTCCTGGCTTAGTGATCTCCCATGCATAGCACCCACACTTTTTTTTCCCCTGAGAGTGCTTGACTCTCTATCCCTGTATCCAGGGAATTGTCTGCTTTCCCATCAGTTTCCCTGCATCATGGGCTTCTTTTCATTATTCTAGTTGTTTGTTGGCTTATTTAGTGTTTTTATGGTACTGGAGATTGAATCCAGGGGCGCTCTACCACTAAGCTGTATCTCCAGCCCTTTTTTAAAAAAAATATTTTTATTAGTTGTTGATAGGCTTTTCATTTATTTATGTGGTGCTGAGAATTGAACCCAGTGCCTTAC